ACGTGTGATTTATTGCACGCATTCCCACGTACCGAATGCACGATATGTTTCACTACGCATCTGTCGTGCATCGCGATAATTTCCTCGCCAAGAATGCGTAGCGATGCCTCTATTAATCTTCGACATTGCATTCCCCCACGTTCCATCCATCGATAGAATATTTTTAAATGCCTAGAAAGAGAATAAATTTCCCTGGCAATGACGTATGTTCGATATGTTCATAAATTTTTTATTTTATGGACTATAATATGTTTTCTCAGACATATTTAATTAATCACTATTAAATTCGTGTGTATTTAGTTTAAATAAAGTTAGGTCATTATTTCCTGAATATTATTATCAAGAGATAATGTCTCAAGTTTATCACTTAAAAATTGAAAATTTCCCGAATATTATTATCAAGAGATAATGTCTCAAGTTTATCACTTAAAAATTGAAAATTTCCCGAATATTATTATCAAGAGATAATATCCCAAGTTTATCACTTAAAAATTGAAAATTTCTCAAATATTATTATCAAGAGATAATATCCCAAGTTTATCACTTAAAAATTGAAAATTTCCTGAATATTATTATCAAGAGATAATATCCCAAGTTTATCACTTAAAAATTGAAAATTTCCCGAATATTATTATCAAGAGATAATGTCTCAAGTTTATCACTTAAAAATTGAAAATTTCCCGAATATTATTATCAAGAGATAATGCCTTAAGTTTATCACTTAAAAAGTGAAAATTTCTCAAATATTATTATCAAGAGATAATATCCCAAGTTTATCACTTAAAAATTGAAAACTCCTCAAAAATTCAAATCACAAAATCCCAAAACACAAATTCCAGTGCACGAATTTTAGTAAAATCCCACAAACACCAATGGAAATTAGAAATTCTGAAAAACGACGAAATGAAATTCCAAGTGTTTTCCCAGACTTTTCGCAATACGAGGAGAAAAAAAAAAGGGGAAAGAAAGGGTTGGTATATCTTAAATAAATCTGCCGTGATACGAGCTTTTTTCTGTCAACGTAGTAAGTGGATATGTAGCCAGTACGGACCGTAATAACTTGCAACATTTCCTGGACTAAATTATTTATTATCCTGCAGGATGCAGGATTCCCTTGGGCGGGTACGAACCACCAAGGAAGGAAGATATTATACGTCAACAATGCTCTCAGGGCCGTGTATAACGTTTTATGTCGCGCACGTACACGCTGAATCTTCTCACGGCTAAATTGGCGAATGCGTGAAACTGTTTTACGCGTCAGCTTAGCCTCGCGAGTATCATTTTCGGCGGACAAATAATAGACTACGTACTTAATTGCGGCTGAACAAAACTGCAAAAGCTTTCCTTTGTTCCGTGTTCCGGTCAAAAATTGAAAGAACAACTGGAAATTTATTAAACGTGAAAGTATATTCTGGCGGAATTTTCTGTTTCCCGAATTTTATTTTCGGCACCAAAATTCGACTCTATGAAGCATTTTTATCGGTAGAGTTTACCGGCGGAAGGTACTTCTTTGAAACCGTTTTTGTTGTTCGATATTCTTTACCGGCTGGTTCAAAGGAATTTTGAAACATTTGACAAGATTTACAATGGACCGTTGATCTGTAGTCTATGTTTTCTCTTTTTTTCCTAAAAATCACTAGAATTACTGTTGATATTTTTAAAGTTGCAAGATTTTCCTTGAATTGTGCAAAAAAAGAGTGAACTGAGTGACCATCCACGCAAATTAATTATTTTTAAAAAAATAGTGTGAAAGTCAAAAAGAAATTGCTATGATCAAATTTTCTCATTGTGCAGTTCAAACAAAATATCGGCAAAATTAATAGAAAATGATTGTTTTCACATTTCAATGGTTCCATTTCTTGGTGATACAAAATTATTTTTAAGTAATTCATATTTGATCCAAGGCTGTACCGTGAATTCATATCAATGAAAAATCCCCTGGATATGATTTACTATTCCAATTAATTGTTCAGTTAGAATTCTGTAGTATCAACCAAAGAAGTCTGCATGATAAAATATCTCGGTAAAAATCAAAGCGATCCGAAAGCTACAAAAGGGGACAGTGTAGAAAAGAGCAGAGTAAAATTGACCGGTTTCGATCAGTTGTTTCTCAATTTACGAAGCAGCACAAACACCCGCAATTGTCAGTAATACTGTATCAGAGAGGCAGTGAAACGCGACGTCGGATCGCGAGGGTGGATTTCTCGATTATCCGAACTCACTGACTTTTATTGCTACTCAGCCTTTGCCATTCGAACGAAAAAGACGTTCCTTTTGTCTGCTCCTTTTCTTCCGAAGCAAGAGAGTGGTCAGTCGTGCTTCCCTCTCCGTTAAATCACCTGAGAACCTCTCTTTCTCCTCCTGGTCTTCTCTCCCCCCCCCCTTTTTTTTACGATGGCACATCGTCTTCGAATTCAGTCGCAGTCGAAGAATAGTCTCCGTGAAAATTACTCTGCGGTGGGGTGGCGAAAATCCCCAGGGATGAATTTGGCCTCACACGCGGCCACGCTCGCTTGACACCAGATATCGGAGAACCATTTCGAATGTCCGCAGGCGGACTTATAAAGATTTCGACACATGTAAAGATATTACCCTCTGTCATCGCGTTTTTTCTCTTTTTTTATGAATTTTACAAACGGTCCATCTATCGGACATTTTTAATTTTGACACGGTTCTCACCTACTTGAACCATTCATAAATAACACAGATTTCCGTTGGACTGTGAAGTATGCATGTGTGGGATCGCGAGCGTTTTTGCCTCCGTTCCTTCGTTTCTTGAGAAATAAGAGGCGAGAGCAAAAGCGAAAAGGGCCTTCAGGAGTGTGTGTGTGTGGATGTTCGAGAGATAATGAAGAGAGTGCGTGTTCAAAAAGCCAGGATTTTGGATCGAGTGCGGGGTAAGATTTGGAAGAGAGGAGACCTTGAGTTCAAAGCATGGAAAGGAGGAAAATTCAGAGTGGAAACAGTGTGGTTTATAGTTAACGTAGACATTTAGTTTCCCTTTTATTTCTTTACTTTCAACAATAAATTATTATTATTATTTTAAATACGCTTTCACAGTCACAAGTACAGCAAAATCCCACATATGTACGTAGGTACACAGAGAGTATCCTTTTGGGTAATGGTCAAGCAGGGAAAGCTTTCGTATAAAATTCTATCCAAAGCAGATTCAAGCAGACGCGAAAATGACTTGAGAAAGTTTGCAGACGCGAGGGTAAAGCCATGGGAAATGGTGTGATACACGTGAAAATAATATGGTAACCTTCTTCAGTGGTCAAAGCTGGCCAGCACAATGGACACCGAGGATATCCGTAAGGGGAGACCGTCTACCCTTATTTAAACGCGTCTCCTTTCTTCCTCATATTTTTCATATTCACGCTTTCACCTGGTCCATGGAGCGTACCTGCTCCATTGAATAAATCTCGCGGAACACGAAAAATTCTCTGAGTCGTAGACAGCCCCTCCCGTTAGCAGCAGACGTACCTTCCGGCTTGTTATCTATCGTTCAGAATCGCGGAAAGCCTTGTGAAAATTGCGAGAATTGTCAGGGTGGAGGGTTACTCGTGCATTTTAAAATACGTGGCAATATTAACGTTCGACTCTCTGAAAACAATTTTTACCTATACAGATAAATTATTGGTTATCTACCTGCAAAAATTAATTTTCATAGATCGTTCAATGTCTACTTTTTAGGTTTCGTTTAATGGTAAACGATAATCAATTAATTTTCAGAAAACAGTTTTTATCTGTGAAGATAAATTGGTGGATATTTATTTGCAAAAATTAATTTTCAAATTAATTCTGTCCCTCTTTTCACAAACTCTTTATTCACTCAAAATTGCCACACTTTTTTCAGAGAGAAAATTCCTCAGTTTCCAGATAAATAGAAACAGGTCATTTGAAATAATGGAGATTATTGTGCACCTTAAAATTACGTTTCATTTTTGTAAATAAGCATCGAAGTTTATGAAAAAAAAGTTCATTTAATGAGAAAAAATATTATTGTGCACCTTAAAATTACGTTTCATTTTTGTAAATAAGCATCGAAGTTTATGAAAAAAAGTTCATTTAATGAGAAAAAATAATTTATTTTTCCAAACTCCTTCAAAATAAATTGGTCTTACTAAAGACACTGTCTTAAGGAACTTTCGACCTTCCTTTTCCACTCGTTCGAGGTACACATCTCGCATGTCTCCTCTTTAACCTATCCAAGAAAGAAACCCCATAAAAATTCCCAGGACTCCTGAGTAACTCGTTTCTGGCCAAGCAGAGATCCAAGCTCGATATCTTTTACGTGTCGCCTGGTGAATTATGCAAGGCGTACCTACACGTCGGATACCACCTCCTCTGAAGATTTCCTATGCACCGTTACTTCGATATGGAGTATAAGAAAAAGTGTGTAAAAAAAAATTTCAAAACTCATTACCCTGTTTCGACGCATACACAGTGCTATTCCCCGCGACTACTTCTTTCACTCTCATCTCTCTACCGAGCTGAGGAAAACTGTCGGTGACAGAATGTTCCGAGGCATCTTACTTTAGCAAATACTGTTCCCTGAGAAGGCTGACCTAAGTTCTACATACTTTATACCACTTTATATCTATTCCTTTTATCATACACATTCACCTACATTCTTCAATTTTATCACAGCCTATATTCATATTCTCCGTCGTAAATATACATTTGCAAACTACCCATTTCACTTTTCATTCGTTTCTCTACTTCAACTGCGACTCCATCTGCTAATTTACCCGTCTACTTTCTTCTTCCTTCGAATATTTATCTTCCTTCTTATCCTTAGAATTTCTGCTCGCTAGCTAATCTACCTTCTCGCGTGCGGTATTTTTCACCGGGACCTAATTCAATCAGAACGCACGCTGTTCATTTATCCTTGTCCCGATGGGAACGGATGGAATAAGAAACAATCGGGAGTGTAGTGAAAAGTAGCGGGCAATTTATATCATCTTTCATAGACATCGCCTCTCCATTGTACATTTCAGATGTCCTTATGGATTATGTGTCTAGATGCATCGGTTTAGAGCTGTCCAAGTGTATGCGCGTATTCGCGCGCCGGAATATGTACGGGGCCTGATATACGTTACTATGAATATACCGCGTTAGGACTCCTTTGGGAATGTTTCGACCTCCGGAGCTATTGCGAAGGAGCCTCGTGTTCGACTCAGACCCGATACGATCGCTGAATTCCTTTCGAATTCTGATGGAATATGGGTGTATCGATCTCTTCACAGTGTCTACCGTCTTTCATGGTACCGTTCGCGTTTCCTGATCTCGATTCCAACGTCGAAATAACTTGACGAAGTATTGATTGACAGGAAAGTAGCTTTACTTGTCACAGCTACTATGTACGCTGCGAATGGTATTTTTAGTCGGAGGTATTCGTTCGTGAGATGGTTTTTTGGTGGAAATTCAATTTTCAAGGCTTCTTCGGTAATTCCGGGATAACATTTCTAGTCGATTTGGATCATTCCTTTCTGGAAAGGATTTTGATGAAAATTCGGTTTTCTAATCTTCTTCGGTAATTCTGGAATTCATTTTTTAATCGATTTGGACCCTTCGTTCGTGGAAAGATATTCGGTAAAAATTCGATTTTCTGAATTTCATAAGGAATTCTGGAATAAATTTTCTAATTAATTTAGATTCTTCCTTTCTGGAAATATTTTTGGTAGAAATTTAATTTTCTAATCTTCATAAGTAACTCTGAAATTAATTTTCCAATCGGTTTGGAGCTTGAATTTGGAGCTCAGGTCAACACATAAATTAATACATTTCCCCTCGAAACAGTTCCCAGATGTTAATTAATCTCGCTCGATAGTTAGCCGAAGCAACGATTAATTATCCCCGATTCTTCGAACGATCCTCAAAATCGTAGCGTGGTCGACATCACAGTATAGCTGCCGGCTTCTCGAGACATTAAATTATTGCCGGCGCAGCTCGTTCAAATACGGGTTTAACATCCATTTGGTCCCATTTCTGCTGTCGAGACTCACACGGCCGTTTTAGACAATGATATTTCATTGTTAAGCGCTATTACAGCGGCGGGTGCTAACCTCGGAGATCCTCAGGGTGTCCTCCATCCTGGAAGCTCTATAGACGATCGATTTCCTCTCGACTGAGCCTTAAATCGACCCCCTTGGGACCATAGCGTTTCGTCCACTTGCAAATCAAGACGCGCCGCTGCCGCCGTCTCCTGTGGAACAGAATTTAGTCACCGACTACTTTGTTATGATTTACTTGCTGGATCTCTCTGCTTCCGCTTTCCCTTCTGCTCCCCTATTGTTCGCCGGGACAACAATTATTTCTGTGACACGTGTGCATCGTGTGACACGAAAAAGACCATTCCTGTTGGAATGAAAGGGAACAAGAGCAGCGGAGTGTTTAGTTTCTTTCAGCGAGCTGAGTTGCACGATGTTTGAAATTTCCTGAATGCTCGTGGAACATTTGTAAATTGACACGTGTTTCGATTAAGTAAAAAAAGTATATCGTATGATAGAAGAAAAGGGGTGGAAAACGACGTTGATTTTTTTCGGGTTCTTTTTTTTTTGCAACGTTGAATTCGATATTCTCTTTATTAATCGATTTACCACATCGATAAGGTGTATTTGATCATTCAGTTTTCGCGTATATCGCGTGAATTTCAAGCTCTGCAGACTTTATCATTGTGACTGTTTGTCAATTTTTTTTTACGAAATAACTCGATGCTCGTTAATATTGGTTTCCGTGAAATTTCACGGGGGAACGTACTTTATGAAAATTTCAACGCTGCCTGTTCCGGTCGGAATCGATGCTGAATAAAAAATAAAGCGAAAGTTGAAACTGAATTTCAAACTGGGTAAAAGTTGGGGAATAAAATTTCGCTAACTACCGCGCTTGAAACCGTTTATGCGTAAGTAATGATTCCAACGTTTCGAAAGGACACCGTGAAAGTAGTGAGAAATATTTAATTTTTGTGGAACTTGTTGCAAGTAAAATGTAACAGAAATTCCATCATTTTGCACCGCAGCGAATGAAATTTAATTCCTTCCTTCATTTCCATCATTTTCTCGACGCAATTTCTTCTTCTCTCTGTTTTTATCAATCATAACAGCTGTTAAACATGTTGAATTCAATCTTGGAAAAATCTGAGATAGACGAGAAGATTTTCAAATAAATTTAATTTTCAATACTTGAACTTTGAGTTACATACGAATAGTATCTTCAATGGAAAATGTTAAAAAATCTGTTTGCAACAGAACTTTATGTCAGAAAGAACGATATCGTCGTATCACAAGTAGAATACGCAATTATTGTTATTGCCTTTGAAAAAGTATGGAACGAAGCACTTGGCATATAACGCGTTCATTTTTTTATAGCTCATCGATTTCCCAGAAGGTATAAAACGTGATGGATACTTGTGTCGTAAAATATTTCAATACTTATTGGCTTCCGTATTACTTAGCTGCTGCACAATCGCCCTAAAACGGCTTTTTTGATAACAGCATGTTTCTATCCTCTGAAAGGCTTTAAATCTTCAGACAGCCGCAGTACCGAGAGACTTCGCGGAAGAAATCCGGAAGCCTTCTAGAAGCGAAAAAGTCAATCGTAAAGAAGCTCGTCTCCTTCGTGCTTAGCACAGGAGGAGAATGTATATACGGACGAAGTTTACAGCTTTGCCCTATATTTCCAGATATATACGCTTTTATTTCCGGTTCTAACTAGATTCGACAATTAGAAAAGTAACAATGATAGAGCTTTAGACCTGTTTGGTAAATTCGAGACTCCAGAAAGCTTGATTAAGGAAACTTTGTTGCTCTCGGAGAACTTTAATAGACGTAGGAACCATTAATCGCTAAGGATGTGAAGAATAGAGTCCAGTGGATCTGTCTGGGATCTATAGAAACTCTAGAAACTTCAGAGTCCATAAATATCCTCGTCAACTATGGAATCTTTGCAAAGCTTTAATTCATGTATGCCTCTAGTAGCTTCGAAGCTTCTGAGAAATAAGGAACCATTGATATTCTGACACTGTTGGAACCTATGAACTATGGAATCTTTGCAAAGCTTTAATTCATGTATGCCTCTAGTAGCTTCGAAGCTTCTGAGAAGTAAGGAACCATTGATATTCTGACACTGTTGAAACCTATGGAGATTTTAGAGTCCATGAGTGTGTTTCGTACCCTTTGAACCTTTGAAGAACATAGTGCTCCAGAGATTTTATCATTTTCGATGGGATGGAGCAGCGAATTGAACTTAGAATTCTATCGGTGAGGCTACAGTCTGACACGATTCTTAGTGCTATCAAAGTCACCACCTTGGTCTTTGAGGAACGAGTGGAATGAGTTTTTAGTGATTCCAGAGTGGTGAACACTAATTTTGCAAAAATAGCCCTTCACGGCGACCGTGTCACAAACCTTTGCTTTCTTTACACACCGTAGATACTCCTGTTATGCTTTTAATCCCTGAGAAAGCTTCAAAAATCAGTGAAAATAGATTTTCCAAAAACTGCCAAAACTTAAAAAAAAAAAAAAAAATTTCGTGAATCTGGTGAACAAATGTGCGAATTTCGGGTGTCATCGATCAGCTCAGAATGATCTCATATGTCTACGCCCAAGCAAGCATTCTGTGATAGGTTGTCAGCCTTTAAACAGCTGGTACTTGAGAACTGCGACAGGAAATTTGATGAGGGTCCGGCCGAAAACAAAAGAAATACGTATTTACACACGAGCAGTCGTCCCGGAGCGATAAAAGCCCTTCGCTTTCCTCTGTTGGCCTTCAGGAAAATGTGCTCGTTTGTTCTCGACCCCTCATTCACGAGCTCTCGTCACGGCGTTGCTCGTTGGTCGAACGTGTCAAGGGAAACGTGCTTTGCTCCCGGATACTCTCGTTCTCTGACTTGGGAGAAAGATTGCCGATGAATCAGGAGAGAAATGTTGTCGTTGTGCGCGATCACGATACGTTACAAGCCATTATTTTTCATCCTTGAAAGATTTAGATGCAAGTGGAGTTGTCGAGCTGGTCAAATTGATTTTCTTCCTCTGTTAGATGGATCGCACTGTTTTTTCTCCCATGTATCACTTGTAACATGTGAATCCAGCAGATCGGAACAATGTTTCAGAATTAATTCCTTGGAGGGAGATTGTATTTTATTGAAAAGGTATTTGATGGAGTAATTTTGTCTGGTTGAAACATTTTTCTTATTTAAAATACAGAGGAATCGTTATGAAACTTTGGAGGCTTTCACGGTTGGATTTTTTAAATTATAGAACCTTGTCCAAGAATTGTTAAATTTCTCATTCGAAAGACTCTCTGGAAGCCTTGAGTAACAATTCCAGCAATAATAATTCTAATATAAATGATCTAAAAATAGGATTGAAAAGGGCGCTTTATTTCTGAAATGTTTTAAGAATAATGCTATTAGCTAACTATCTTAACCATTAATCGTTGATGATGGTATTCCGCGAATCGAGATCGATACCCGTGGATATTACCGTGGAGCTTCTGCCTTGAGGACAAGAAGGGTTGCTTGTGGATAGAACGTGCTGCGTACCTCGCAACGAGACTTACGTGAGGTCAAGCTTCAGGAATAATGAGACGCTCCGTCCGCTATTTTCTCACACTTTCAAACTCACCTTTGTTGATTCTCCAAGTTTGCACTTCCGTAAAATAACCATTTAAAAATCCTTCGGAGAAGGAAACAAAACGTGCTTATTGAAGCTAAATTGATTAACTTCTCACCATTTTTTAATCGATGCTCCACTGTTCCTAAAGAAAACAAATTTAATAATCTTCATTTAACACAGATAATTTATTTGATTTCTGAGGAACTCAGCGACAGATTATCTTCTAAAATGCATTCGAAGAGAATAATTAGCAAAGTTGAGAAAGAGGTAGTGCAACGTATATTATTATTTTCACGAAAGTTGCCAATACGATAACGTTGGCCGAAAATCAGTTTGTTACAAGGAAACGATGTTCGCGAGAAACTTGCAAGCCCCAAGTGGAAAAGACGATAGAAACTTTCTACACAGGTGTATTAAAATTCAGGACTCTATACAAACTTCCTACAGGGGCTTGGAACTCAGGAGACAATGAAATATGAAATTATATTGAACGTAGCAAGCCTCTGGATGCTATTTGAGTTAAACTACGAATAATAGAATGAACCGCTTTAGCTTGTATTATTATACAGTAATAGCTGTGCTTTGTGCTTCTCTTCTATTGCCAGCAGTTTTCGGTGTTAGTCCTTCTGGAACAACTTCGAAAAAGTTCGATCTAACTGGAAATCGATAC